AGTGGACATGTAAGCCAAACACTTAGATTAAGGTTTATTTTAACCAAAATGCAATAAACTAGCTATAGAAATAATACAGCATTATTTCAACTACCACGTTGAATTCAACATTCAATGATATGCGACAGAATGATGCACTAATGAACGGTGACGTGAAAAATATTCGCAAGCTTCTCGCAAGCGAATCTTCTCGGGGTCAGCAAATCTCCCGAGGTAGTCATGTCTAGCTGCGCATGCAGATTTCATTGACGGGGGGGGGGTCTATACCCAAAAATACCGTACTATACGAAGCGAAACGAGCTGGGAAAATTTACAAGTAACTCACTCTATGCTGCGAATCTGTGATGGGCGCTCGTTACATGCCTTACGGGTATCTATCACGAATCACACGATCGCTTGGGATCTACCCAAAACATGCCAGCGTTTTCTAGAGGGTGAGCAGGGTGTGATTAATAAGCGAATAACGATTCTAGTTTAAACCATTAGTCCTACATTAATTAACGGACGTAATTGTGGGTCACACCGGCTCAAAAGCTGCCGAACGTACGAATAACTTCGGTTATACCTGTACCTACTATCATTACGTCGGACCGTAGATCTATTAGGCATATACGCATAATCAGGCATCCCTGTGCACTATGGTATGGGGAAGATACTAACGCTATACTCAAAGTGAGAGAAAGTGAGGTCAGGTCACCTTGCTGTTCAGGCGGATTTCCTGATTAATGATTGTCACTTCGAGGTCAAGTAAGACGGGAAATGCGCGATGAGAAAAGAAATGAATGAAATACTATTCATGAAAACAATAATACCATGAACGCACTAAATTCGTTGCAGCTGAAACAATATAAATCTCTAATCACGAGAAAAATTAATTAAATACTTAATAAATGTACAATACTCATGTTTGTTGACAACATACTGTGATCACACAGTAATACGACCTAAGGTCAGAAGGAAGTGAGAGCGGGCCATTTGCTGTCAATTAGCACTTTTACCCAACAAAACCAACGCGAGAGTGACTGCACATTCGACTGAACACATTTATGGGAGAAGATAGGGAAAAGAAAGGAAAAGGCCCAAAACGTGTACTCACGTGGTTTTCAAGACTGTAGTAGCGACGGCTCTCCCCTGGACCTCGAGCCATGTGACAACAGCCACGCGGTCTATGGCTAATGTCATGCACAAATCGTGGTTATGTACACTGCTAACCGTGGACTCGTTCTCCCCTTCGCCCGTTGGAGCTGACGCCGCCTCCGCCACGACGACCACTTACCATACCTCCGCCTACTACATGTTTCTCAATAAAGCTGTTAAATAGATATTGAGTTTTCCTCTGGACCTGTCAGATAATATAGTGGTTTTCTTGTACATTTGAATTAGAGACCATTATAGCTGGTGGCAACGGCAATATGGCATGTCATTAAGCAGCGGTGAACACTCGCTATTTATGGCCAAGGATGACCCGGGTTTAGAGTTCGCGGCCAGCGCTCGTCGTGTCAAGGTCGCCCTAGCCTCTGGCCTCTCAGGGCTGGAGGGCAGATCCCGCACTCAGCGCTTGCCCAAGACTCGTCTCGTGTGTTACCATCACTTGTTGTACTCTTCAGAAAGAAAGAGTCTGGCCATCATACCACTATGTCCACCCTTGCATAACCAATGTTTAAGGCTTCATTTACAATAGCCTTTTACACACAAACATATGTGTATATATGTATATATATGTGCGTATATATATATGTATATATATATATATATATTATATATATATATATATATATATATATATATATATATACACACACACACACACACACACACACACACACACACACACACATATATATATATATATATATATATATATATATATATATATATATATATATATATATATATATGTGTGTGTGTGTGTGTGTGTGTCTATATATCCATATGAATGTGTGTGTATATATATCCATATGAGTGTGTGTGTGTATGTATATATATCCATATAAGTGTGTATATATATGTATATATATCCATATGAGTGTGTCTGTATATATGTATATATATACGTATATATATATATATATATATATATATATATATATATATATATATATATATTTATATATATATATATATATATATATATATATATATATATATCCATATGAGTGTGTGTGTGTGTATATATGTATGTTTGACCTGATGTGACCTCAAGAGTTGTTTGAGGCTTTTTATAAGGTATATAAACGCCATGGCTTCTAAGTTATGCAAACAATCGCTTGCAGGAACCTTTATCTTCAGATGACCGCATTTCATCATGAGGCAAAGGTATAATCCACAGGAAGGGAGCGGAAGGGATAACAGGGAAGGAAACGGGGGGAGGGGGGTGCAGATGAAGCAGGGGGAGGAAGGGGTGTGTTGGGAGAGAGTGGGTGGAGGGGGTGTAGGGGGAACAAAGTAGGAGGAAAATGGAAGTTGACAGCTACTTTGAGTGTAAAGGGAATGGGAGTAGAGAGATTGGAGAATGGAGAGCGAAGGGCAGCACGGGAGTAGGGAGCAAGGGGAAAATCTCAACGACGTGCTTTCTGTCTGGCTTCGCATAAAGTGAGGCCAAGTTTGGATCTGAGGACTACTACTTTAGACTCGTACTTGTAGGTAGGGCAACCCACATCAAATACATTATGGGAGCCACCACAACTGGCACACGTGCGTGATTGCGCAGGGCAGTTTGAAAGATCATGGCCAGGTTGGTCGCAGAGAGGGCAATGGGCTGTGGAGCGACAGTGCTTAGAAGGGTGACAGTGACGGGTTAGGTTAGGATATAGTCGGGTAGGGCAGGACACTCCGCCAATATAAACTTTATGCGGGAGGTCATGTCTACGGAAGATGTGCTTGGCAATATTGGTGGAGAATTTACGTTGGCCTCTGGAAGGATAGTGTAGCACTGCACTGCTACCGCATCATAGTCAACAAGGCAGGCAAGCAGTCTTAACAACCCTTGTCGTTGACAGGGAAATCAGCTGGGAAGATGGAAACAATTCCGGTACAAATATAAAGGGGG